TAATTTTAGTAGTAGTAGTTCTAGTGACAGAATTATAAGTATGGGTGAATAAATTACAAAAAGGTGTGAATGATTTAGATATCTCAGGTTTATTGTTCAAAGTGATGGTGATATAGATGGGAATGTTATTAGTAGAAATCAAGTTGGTTGGTTGAAGCGGAGGAATGCTTGGTTGAAGGGTTGAAGCGGAGGAATGCTTCAAGCTTATCGTGTGATAGCAAAGTACGACTTAGACTAAAAGAAAAATTTTATAAGATGGAAGTGAGACATGTAATGCCTATGGCACTGAATATGTTGGCTTTAAGAGAGAAGCATAAAACCAGGTTAAGTGTTAATGATTAGGTAGATGAGTGGCTTTACACCTAGAGACAAATGTGAAGTGAATATATTCGTGATAGGATTGGTGTAGCTCTAGTGACGGACAAAATTAGAGAGCCATCTTAAATGGTTTGGTCACATTAAATGTCGACCATCTGATGATCTGATTAAGAGACTAGATGTTTAGATTCAACTTATGTTAAGAAATGCAGAGCTAGGCCTAGGAAGACTTGGGCAAATTGTATAAAAATTGATCTTAATTTATTATAATTAAATGAAAATATGACACTTAATGGGAGGCAATGGAGAAAACGGATTCATGTCGCCGACCCAACTTAATGGTGTTGTTGTTGTAATTATATTTAATATATATAAATATATATATCTTTATTTAAAATACATCTGCAATTATATCAGAATGAGTTATATATTAAATTCTAAATTTATAATTATTAAAGATATTACTTCTGTTCAAGTTTAATTTATTTTTTATCACATAATTATCATATAATTATATAATTGCATCATTTAAATAATATTAAAATAATTTCAATATTTATTATATCATCTCTTTCAACTCCCAGATCAACCCCCATTAAAACTTTTAAGCCTTGAGTTATTTATTAAATTCTAAATTTATAATTATTAAAGATGTTATTTGTGCTCAGGCTTTATTTATTTTTATCACATATTTATCATATATTTATAGAATTGTGTCATTTAAATCATATTAAAATAATTTTAATATTTATTACATCATCCAATTCAACACCCGATTAAATTTTTAATTTTTGAGTCTCTATTTTTTTAGTTCAACAGCCAATTAATTCAGTATTGACAACCTTAGAAAAAAAAATACACTGCATAATCTTCTAGTTTGTCAAACTCTCTTGAACACCAGCACCCCTTGTTGCTGGGGGTATGACATATAAGGATTTACACGAAAGGATTCCAATGATTAAGTGAAAAGAATCATTATCTCATTGAAAACGGGTATGTAAAAGAAATAAATTATTTAGAACACTAGATCATGAGAGGTGGTTATAATACTTGGGCAGCACCCATTGGTGTGGCGAAGCAATTTTAAACCACGGCCAACACTAGCATAAAGGCATGATAGAGACCAAATTGTAGCTGCATAATGGCGGAAGTACCATAGATCAAGGCAATTGAGATCCAATATTTAGGAATTGACAACGCAAAGTGAGATAAGCTATACAAGTCAAAGATGGGGGCTCGACGACTGTAATGATGCATAAGGCAAAGCAATGGCTAGGATTGGACAATAAGAGGAAAAAATAAGCTACTAGATATAATGTCTCTGCACTTCATTAAAATTATTCAAATTAGAGTATAAACTCATTTTAAAATATAGAACTGTGTTAGCCTAAAATATAATAATCACATGTCCCATATTTAGCATTCATGTTTGTCGAGCTCTTTACATTCTTTTATCAATATTGTTTGCCTTAATATACAAGTGGACTCTGATTCAATGAGATTAAAGGCACTATCATGATGGTCTAATGCTAATAATTATTAATGTGGGAGAACAGATGCATGACACTCATCTTTTATAAGAAATCATATCTTATATAGTGCAATATGTTGACATAAATATCTACTGGAAACTAGACGTCATTCAATATCCTTTTTCGCAAAGTTTTTTGTCATAAAAACATCAGTAATTGAATTTATGAACCCAACAAGCAATTGCATTTCTTTTATTTCTATTTGCATAATAATATTCATGCCTCGCATGTCTCATTATATGTTATTTATATTATATTCTTATTTACATCACTTTTAATAACACCACTCAGACATTGCAAATAAATAAGATATATAGCTAAAAATGCAGTATATTAATGCAAATTTAGCAAATAAATTATCTAAACAATATTTTAATATAGTGTTTAAATCAGATTAAAAAAATTAGTTTTTTTTTTTTTTCAAAATAATATCATTAGAATAATCAACCAATCGCCCCTATCATCTCCATTTGTGTCTTCATTAAGTTCACTCTCCCCAATGATCAAACTTCAATGTTTATTCTCTTTATTTTTGCATCGCTCAAAGCACACATCTATCTCTAGAATTATAGAATGGCATCCATATTTCTCTTCGGTTTCTTTGAGCCATGAGGGATCCAACCATATGTGCTTTCTTGAGCAAAACTATAATGACATCTTGGGAGGCAAACTCTACCCAAACATGAAAATAGTCATTGCATCATAATTTTATGCATAAAAAGAAAAGAAGATAAAAAAGATTCCTAAACTATTTTTAAAGGGTCATTTTAGTCCCAAAATAGAAATTTGTCTGTTTATTTCACTATATCCTCAAATATGATCCAAACAATCCCTCTCTTGGATTATTTTGTATCAAATTGTAGAAGTATGCTATTTCAGATCAAATTTGAGCCATCAATGGACTCAATTGGGCACATTTAATATTTCGGGGATAAAAATACCCTCTGCATATAGTTTATGGACCACATTGACCATTTTCTATGCTTTAATAAAAATTAAGTGATTAGTGCATATATTGATTTAATTAATTAAAATAGAAATAAAAATAATTTATGGAGAAATTACTTAATTACAACAATTGAAGTAGCTTTTTTTATTTGCCACATGTGCCCTTCCTATGCTTTTTATTTATGAAATATTTTGACAAGTTTGACATTTCAAACTTTAGATTTTAAAATATGACTATTTGCGACAAAAAAAGTTCCATCAATTGCTAAAGGGAGTAAATTTGTAGCCAGACAACTAAAAAATGTATGAGTTGATCAATAGACAAGCTTAAGGGGTTATTCACATATCTTTTAATATGAATATTACCTTCAAGAGCTTAATGAAACCTTCTCATCAAGCTGCTTGAATGCACTATTGGATATGTATGAAAACCTTTCCTAGTCACCAATGTACATGTAAAGCGAAGATGTTTCAATCTCAAGATGTCTGAAGAAGCGTTGACCACTGATTGTATTAGTATTTTTAGCTCAATCATGAGATAGTGATTATTTTTATTATTATTAAAATAATAATACGTATTATTATTATTATTATTATACCATTTCATAAGTGATACCATTTCATAAGTGATACCATTTCAAGCGTTGACCACTGATTGTATTAGTATTTTTAGTTGAATCATGAGATTGTGATTATTATTATTATTATAAAAATAATAATAGGTATTATTATTATTATACCATTTCATATGTATCTTTTAGAACAAACATTATATATATATATATATATATATATATATAAATTTATAAATTAATAAATTTGTTTTGAATGAAGTGTAAAATTAGCTTCACCATTAACTCAACTAAAATTCAAATGCTGAATTAAATTTCAAATATTGAGTTGAGGCTAGCTATTTGATGGAACTTGACTGAACATCATGTCCTCCGTGTATGGAATAGAGCTACACAAAATCCTGCCGGTACACCAAATCCGATACGCTTCTGCAAACTAAGATTGCCATTTATTTGTATCAGAGTACTACCACTAACATTTCGAGCTGTGCATTTCCGAAACAGTACATTTTTTTTGGTGCTCCAACTTTATTATAATAACGCCTTCTCAGAGAAGAGAAATGCTTTTTATACCCACTTAATTTATAGATTTTCAACATCCTTAATTTATATCTCAAAAAAATTGGATATTTACCCACAACGTCTCTCTATACTGCTTCTTTTGTATGTTGCTTATAACATTCTACGTGAGAAATGTATACTATGTAATTCTGAACCCTAATTTAAGTTAGCTTTCGGCAGCCTGTATGCTAACTTCTATTTTTTTCTGGGGACTGAAGCACAGAAGCAAAGCCAAAATCATGTAAATCCAATGAAAAAGAACTACTTTTTAGTAAAAGGGCGCAGTAAACTGCATAGCGCCATTGGAAGCGCCTCCTCAGCTTCTTCTGTTATTTTCGGCAGCAAAAATAACGTCGTAGAAGTAATTTTCACACATGAAATAAGCACAAAAACTGAGATGCAACTCAAGAAAATGAGAAACATTTTAAAGATTCAATCCGAGTATTTTCAGTTCCGCCCATTCAAATAATGAAATTGTCATCTATCTTCTTTTTTCTATTACTTATTTTGAAGAGAAAAACAGAAAAATTTGGAAAAAAAAATCTTGAATCGCTCTAACCACATATTTCTGCCTATCGTCGCCCTCCCCGAGACTCCCACGTGCTGCAAGTACTACCTTGTCTGCCCTAACAACACACTGCGTGTTCTCCATCGGTACAATCCGCCTAAACCACAACAGCATCCTCTCGATCGAAGAACAAGAATGGCAAAAACCCTCACTATTAAAATGGAAAGAGAATGAACCAAACAAAAAGCCAGCAATTAAAAAAAAAAAAGAAAGAAATAGTCCTCCAGATATGCAGAACAAGTTAAAACTTCTAAAAAAAGAAAACAAACAAAAAACGCCAAATGATCCCATCCAAAAATGAAAAGGAGAGAAGTGATCAATCAATGCGAAACCCCTAAAAACAAAAACCCTAAAAAGCCGATCCGGGTTGGGGAGATCTTTTTCGACGCGATTAATGAGGGCTTTACTTTTTCGATATCGAGCTTTCAAATCAACCACAGAAACCTTAACCAGGAAGCCCAAAAATATTATTTATATCATTGAATGAGAGAGAGAAAGAACCTGGAACTCGCGAACTCGTAGAGCTTCCCGCGAGGAGAAAAGACGATCAGTCCAACCTCAGCATCGCAGAGCACTGATAACTCAAAAGCCTTTTTCAGCAACCCGTTCCTTCTCTTCGAAAACGTAACCTGCCGACTCGTCGGGTTCTCTATCCTCCTCATCTCCGTCCTTCCCCTCACCATGTTTGTCCGATGCAAACCCTCTGCAAACCGGAAAAAAGAAAGGTTAGGGATCGCAGATCCAACAGAGAAAACGAAGCTAGAAGGGATTATAAGCTGACCAGAAATAGAAACGATGAAGAAGAAGAGCTAAGAGCTAATCTGATAGAGCTCGCGGGGATTCCTCCTTCCTCCGGACCTCACCCGATTTCCGGGGCTGCAGCAGCAGGAGAAAGACAAAGGAAAATCCCAAAAACTGCTCTTTTCCGGCTAATCTCCTCTCCCCATCCCATTTTCGTCTTCCTCGGGGCCCTCCTGCAATTATACCATTGCTGTCTCTGGTTTAGCTAAAGCAGAATCGTAGGAAAACGGAAACCACACGAAAGCCCTCCGATCCTCAACAATACCATAAAAAAAGACAGCGGGTGGGAGAAAACCGGCCTCCGCTTTTATTTTCCCTCCCCCACTTCCGGTTTTTTCTCTCTCCAGGGAGCCAATGGCAGGACGAGACTGGACATTAGGTGGGGCCCGCATCAGTACGAGGGTTCCGCCTCCGCCAGGTACGCGTCCGTACAATGGGCCAGTGTGATTTCGACACGTTTTATGCGGACTGATCATCGCGATCGACGCTGGGGTGATGGGTCGCTTCGGGTCACGTGGCCCGCTACCTCCTCCTCCTAATATCAGTTATGATATTTATGTATGGAAATACTAAATCAAATATTATATCTAGATTTCAATAAAATCACATCATCTGAAGGACATGCAGAGTCACTCGTGTTATTTCACATTATTTAATTAATATTGTGGTATATTCATGTATTATTATATTTTAAGAATTGTCTCGGTGTTATAATAACACAATAAGTATCAATATCACCACAATAACATCTGAATAACACGAAATAACATATGAGGAATGTTCCTCTGTGTTACTGAGACGGATCATAAGAAAAAAAGTTTTTTTTTTCAGCTTCACGTTAAGGTGATTCATTAAACTTTGGAAATATCTCTACACTCCGGACATAATAAATTTTGAAATACTGTGTTATTTTAATTTAGGATGGGATTGTTTTTATAACATTATCGATAAATATAATTTATATATTAAATATTTTAAAGTATGATCATTGAAAAAATAGAAAATTTTAATAACGTATTTGTATTAATGAATTTTTATTATTTTAATTGTGTTTATAATTTTTAAATTAATTGATATTTTAATTTTATTAAAGGAAATGTGAGCTAGATTGTTTTGATTTAAATTTTATATAGATAGACTTTAACAGTACATTTTGAGATTGAAATTTTTCAAAGTTAAATAAAGGATCCCCTATAAGTCGATCTCAACAAACTTAAGATAGAATTAGAGCCTAAAAACAACGTACCAAACACCGCCTTAATGATATCATTAAAGCACCCATATGGGAAAAAAATAGCATATGATAAAAGAGATCACTATAGGACATCCAATGGAATATTTTAGATTCACGTTTTGTTTAAGAAGGTCACTACTAAAATTTATAATTAAAAACTCACTCTTTTCATGAAAAGAGGAATCCAAATTGCTTAGCACCAAGGCCTTAAAGACACTTGAGCTCCACCAACGTCAAACAATCATTGCTTGGTTGACGCTACCATTATCAGATTGATGGGCCACCATTGCTTGGCTACTGTCATCATAACCAAACTACCTTACTTCATGGTTGTCATTGTTGCTTATTCGCAACCACATTTATAAAACCACTGTAACTCGGTCGTTGTCATCGTCAAATCACCAACACTCAACCACTGTCACATTGAACCACGATCACGAAGCCATCGCGGTCCACATCAATCATTATTTCTCGATTGTCACTATTATCGTTGATGTTGTCTTCATCGAATTTCTATTGCTAGATTATCACTACCACACTGGACATCCATTACTCAACCAACATCGTTGTCATTAGACCATTGTCACGGTCTCCATCGTCAACGTCGAATCACTGACACTCTGTAGCCATTATATGACCATCTTCTCTCGATAGCCACCAAACCACCAATGTTTGATGTTACATCTATCATTAAACCACCAACCCAGTCTTTGTCATGATCACCTTCATGAAGTCATCATCACTATGTGGAATCACTAACACTTGGTTGTCTCGTCATTTAACTGTCATTTCCAATTACTACTACCACCAGTAAGCTACAATCAATTGGTCGTCATCAAACGTCACCAAACTGTCATGGTTAAACATTCATCGCCTAACTATCATCTCCATAGCCAAACATTCATCACTCACTCACTATCAATCATAGTCTGGTCTCCACGGTCATTATCAATCCTCCGTCACCCTATCGTTGTCATTTTCATTGGACCACTACAATATCAAGCCTTCGTTGCGAGGTTACAATAGTAATCGGTGGTGCTATCATCAAATCTTCATCATCTGACCTCTATCGTTGATCCTCCACCGTTATAGTTGGGTCATTGTCACCTCTTCAACATTATTTGTTGTTGTTCTATCAAATGTCAAATCAACAACCCCTTGCCCTTGTAACATTACCTTCCCCCGCCTAAAATAGAGACAAAGTTCTTATAACTTACATCCATATAATGGAATTATTTCAACCAGGCTAGTTCTATGGTGTGTTTTCTTCAGCTAATAAAATCCTATGCAGCTATGTGGACGTAGACAATTTGCCGAACCATGTAAATCTTGTGTCGTCCTTTTTTGGTGTGTTTTTCTCTATCTATTTTTTTGCTTTATTACCGTAGTTTTTCATAATAATTGGTATCAGAGCCCCGGTTCGGATCTGAGGAAGAACGATGGCCGGAGACGAAGTGAAGGTTTCAGGGATCGAGAAGTTCGACGGCACAGATTTTGGATACTGGAGGATGCAGATAGAGGATTACCTCTATGGGAAGAAACTTCATCTTCCACTACTGGGAAAACGACCGGAGAAGATGGAAGAGGCTGATTGGAATTTGTTGGATCGACGGGTTATGAGGGTTATTCGATTAACGTTATCAAGGTTCGTTGCTCACAATGTCATAAAGGAGAGGACGAAGACAGATCTTATGGCGGCTTTATCATGTATGTATGAAAAGCCATCGACGAATAATAAGGTGCACTTGATGAAAAAGTTATTCAACCTGAAGATGGCGGAAGGTGTGTCAGTTGTTCAACATTTGAATGATTTCAACACTATTACAAATCAATTATCGT